ACACACACACACACACACACACACACACACACACACACACACACACATGGGGGCCACACACTAACAGTCAGCAGCTGAGCATGGCTGAGCCTCAGAACGGGAGGCTTAGAGGAAGCTCATCTGATAAGAGTTTGTGAGGATAAAAGTAGCCCTGCAAGATGAAGAGCATGTGCACACGCCAGAGATCAAAACTAGCTGAAGAAAACCACTGCGGCTCAGGCTTTTTAGCCGGATGAAGACTTCCTCCTCCTCCTCCTCCTCCCCCCCTCGTCTTTTATTGAAAGCAGTGAAGGCAAGGTCTGGTTCAAATTCACCAGTAAATGGTCCATAAATTAAAGAGAGAGGGTAGATTAAAATCTTGACCAAACGCAGGCCCTTTTCTTCAAAAAGCTGAACGGGGCTTTTATTCTGGTGGTGTGGCCGAGCAGGGAGATTGGTGCATTAATGTGATTAGTGGTGTTATGTCTGTTTTATGTGGGCTGAGGTGGGGCCGTGCAGGCTGGCTCAGCGGGGGTCGGGGGAGGGAGTGCGTCACGTGGTCTGAGGTGGGTTTACTGTCCTCCGCTTATAGTCTGACACAAAGTCAGATGGGTCAATGTCGATACAGAGAGCCAAAGATGTGGTCCTCTGGTTAGACCACAACTAAGGCCAAGGACCCAAATGTAAAACTTTAGGTTAAAGAAACAAGACGATTCTACTTCAAACTTAAGTTACCTGGTAAATATTCAAGTGGAAGCCGTGCCTACAACACGGAGGCTTCAGGGACCAGTGTAAAACTGACTACTGACTCCTACAAAGACTAGACATCGCACTCAGAAAATATACGAACAGAAAACTTAACAAAACCAGTTAAAGTTCATTTTTGACGCTGGAAATAAAGTGATCTCAACAGAGCAAACTGAGGCTGTGCGCTGCAGCTGAAAGAGCCCTAAATCAGAACTAATCTATGTTCCCTCTGTTAGCAAGCTGAAAGCTATTCAGCATCGCTGCAGGCGGAATCTCCACAAAACCACTACAAAGGACAGGGGGGACTGTCATCCACATTTTACAGAAGAACAATAAGAGGTGGGAAAGATGATCCACCATTGTAGTCCAGACACAAGATGACAAACTATTTCCGAGACTCGCGTGTTGCCGTGCAGACAAGACTTCCGCAGCAACACAGATGTCGAGGGAGGGGCGTTAGTCGGGCATGTGCAAAGCCTCGTCCTGCAAATGTGTAAAATCTGGCTTTGTGACGGCTTGTTTGACAGGACGGTCCAGCCTCCCATCTGCCCGCTGCGAGAGAGAGCCAGAGATCTTGTGTTTCTGACGGACACACACCTCCTCTCCTGTCAGCTGGGACGGGCTAAAAGCCAGCGAGAAGACGCCGTGTTTAGATAGCGAGAGAACATCTTCAATCACCAGCTCAGCAGCACGAGAGTCCACTTTTAAACAGCGTATCAGTGGAGAATCCCTGAACACTGGGACGAGATAGCTCCAGTTTTGGTACAAACACACCGTTTCAGTCCTAAAGTGCCTATTTTGCTGGTATATGTCGGAAGGCAACAGAGGCTTCTAGCTTCCACTTGTTAGCTGCATGTGGACTGGACTGTTATGGAAGGCGTTTTCATCCTCTTATGTCAACAGGTTGTTTGCTTTCGTTCCAACTGAATACAAATGAAAGGAGAGCTCTCCTCCTGTAAGAGTGAAATGCAAAGGAGGCAGTTTCCTGCCACTGACAATAGGAGAGGAGGACATGTGGTTGGTTTGTGTTCTTTTGTTTTGGTTCATGCATCAGTGAATATCTGTGCCTGCTGCTTAAGGGTGGCAGTCTCCCAAAGGGAGGGGGGGGGCAGGTAGAGACAGGTGTGTTGTCCAGTCAATGAGTCAGATTAGCAGGAGTTCATTGAGCACCAACGCCGAGCTTATCTGACATCTAAACAGTGGAGGAGAGCAAAGTAATGGAGGTCAGGTAAACCACACCCTAACCCCCCCGACCCTGTCCCTCTACCAAGCGTTCATTCCACCCGACAGGTGTACCGGCTGTCCAGGTAGCTGCTGCTACTAACAGACGGGTTTAAATCAACACGGATGTTTGCTCAGTGCTACCGCTTCATTTAAGGTGTGGTCATTATATTATCGCCTGCAAACACACAAATGCTTTGACGTCACAAGTCGATAGGTCATGTTTGGCCCTTAGAAAGATGTCCCTCATCGAGCCTAGACAAGTATAAAGATCAGTGATCGAGACAACTGCAGCAGACGTTCGTCCTGTATGAACTGCACAGAAGGAGCCTGCGAGGCTCGGTAGCTGTCATGTAGTGTTGCTGGGCTGCTTCTATACTGAACTGATCTCTGGCTGAGCCGTCGTGTGCGGATGAGGTTGCTGTGTCAAATCTTTCGGACAGAAGACCATGAATGAGCACAAAGACAGGAAACGGTACCTGATCTGTCCCCTGACGAGCGGACGGGTCTTTGTTCGGTTCATGTTGGAGTCGAAGGGCACCTCGAAGTACTGCGGAGACAGAAACACAAGAGGGTCAACGCAGGAGACACGCACGATATGATGGACTACTTCAGGTAGCAGGGAGAATCCATCACTTCGGTTGTCAAACTGATTCTATAGTGTTGAACACCTCCGACACTGGAGCTCAGAAAAGTACAGATTCTGGTTCATTTCAAGCAACGTCGAGGTGCTACGGTAAGGCTGCGATACAACACTGCAGACAGAGATTTACAGCACAATCATTCTGCAGTTGCAATCAAACAAATGTGCATGAAAAGAAATGTAAAAATATCAAATATTCCACCATGGCTGCCTCTCTGAGTCTTTCTATGCAACATCTGGAGAGACAATGCGAGGGGAGTGGTGGTATCAAACCTAACCGAATGCTCACCCTGCACTTTGAGAGTAAATGGACTGGAGGTGGAAGGTGGAGGCGGCGAGCTGTTGGGTGGGTGGTGCTGGTGGTGGTGGTGTGGGTGGGTGTTCTGGGATACAACTATGTGAAAAACTACTTATACTCCTGTTTTATGATCTGCTCTGGAGGAGTATGCTTCAAAGTGCTCCCATGAGATTGGCAATGTGTGACCAAAACGCAAACACATGGGGTGCTTAAACGCAGGAACTAGCTAATCTGTGTGTGTGTGTGTGTGTGTGTGTGTGTGTGTGTGTGTGTGTGTGTGAGCGAGCATTTTGCTTGCCTGCATAAGAGCCTTTGACTAATGAAGAAAACAGATAAAGCACTTAGACGACGGAATATCGAGAACCATCTCTTGTGAAATATTGCTCACATAAAATATCTAATAAACAGATAATCCACTTTTCTCTTCTTAAACCCCAGTTTCCAGATTTACTGCACTCGTAACATCGGAAAGCCGCCATATTATAAAAAACAAAACTCCTGGTGGAAATAATTGCATTTCATTCCGTATAGATTTTCATTTTGAAGAACATTAGGGGGGCGGGCTGCACCATTACGGTCTGATGCACAAGATCTCTCACAAAACTTCTCCCCATACTCGACGGAGAACCTGGAGTTGAGATGCGAATACAAATCAGAAACGCGAAAGTTTAAACATGCTCCATAACAATTTGGCCGTCTTAGAGGAGGTTTAGGGAGGAAGACCGATCCTCTCAGAGCCGGCAACAATACTCCGAAACGACCAGCGAAATGGCAAAACTGAATCTCCATTTCAGCCGGAGTTACACGTTTCCCTGGTTTACGTGGGTCTTCTTGGGAATCCAGTCCAATTAATCGCAGCGAGCCAGTACAGCTAATGCTTATTCACAGTGCAGTTCTGGCCTACAACAGTTATAGAAGTAGGTAAATATATCTTCTTATTTGGCCCCAGTTACTGCTGACATTGCAACGGCACTGAAACCCTTCAAGCACCCAAAGACATTAAAACTAGCGGTTGAATGAGCTCCCTCCGTAAGCTGCAGAGAAAACCTCCCGCTTCCCCTCCACCATCTATGGTTGAGTTGCTGGCCGGGTCTGACTGGACTGGGCCGAGCTAATGCACAGCTGTGTATGCGGCTGTGGGACCCTCAAGGCCCGGGCTGAGGTGTTAACTCTATTTCCTGGGTCAGGAAATGCGTCAGGAGGTCAGGGGCCGCCTGAGAGAGAAATGCACTTTGTGGCAGGGGCCCGACCAGAGCAGTGCTGAACCAGGCCTCGAGCAGGCCCGGGGCCAAAGCCCGCTGCAACGCTGCTCACATAAAGAAAGGATCTACTTAGTTTCCAATAACATCGTCCCACATGTAGAGAAATAAAAAAGACTCTGATACTTTGTGCATAGCAGCACTCTGTGCATTGTGGCCCCACGATGTAAACAGGAGAAACAAAGAGCTTTCCAACGTGAGAGAAGCATCTGAACACACAGGATCTACCGTGTTTGGATCAACCTGTCGTGTGTGTATTCGGGTGATTTAACACGAATGTCAAAGTCGGCCCACTGCGTGCGCTGTTGTCCTTTCACAGTTGGTCCGGCTCTCTCGTTCCTCCCTCTCTCTGCCTTTTAAGTCGCGAGTGCCTCATCTGGTTCGCATCAGCGGCCCTCTCAGCCCGGGTCATTACTTCCGCCTCAACGCCGCCATGTGTTACAGTGAGCGAGGGCATTCAAATAATTGGTTTGTGTTGCGAGTTGCTACAGGTAGGTCTGGAGGTTTGGTGCAGTTTAAAAATGGACACGTCTTCACCTGCACTGAGTCGAGGCAGCGTGACTGTAATTAGCTGGCATGACGTACGGTGGTTAGAGCTCCATGTCAGGCGTGTAGATTTAGACAATTCTTCTATACATGTTTAGAAAAATTGGGCATATTCTGAAAATACTCACTCTACAATAATACTAAGTATTGTAAAAGGTGAATAGAATTTTGTTAATGATGATAAGTGTTTCTGTTGCTATTTAGAGGCAAATAAATGTATTATTTACAATCTGTTAAGGTCATAAAAATGAATTAATAATTACAAAAATGACAACTTTTCTTCATTTAAAGACTGATTTGTTTCTCCTTTATGCAACTGAAGCACTATGCACACTTAGCAAATTAAATCATTGTGTTATTGTTGCAGCAAGAAGGTTCTTGTCTTTGGCATGAACTATATATTAAATTGAGATTATGTGATGACATGTGCACAATGCCTCTGGCGAGCAGCCATTTGTTTGTTTTCTAGCTCGATGACACATCATGACACGTCCCGTTGAAACTGTGGGCTACTCTGTTTTTAGTGACCTCTGCCGCGCTCTCGTGATTCACTCACGAGCAGCATGATGGCTCATTTATGATCTGTGGCGTAACATCGTCGATACAGAGGCGGCTGTGGGACTGAACCGGAAGTTACGGAGAGTCTGGCTGCTGCTATCAATTATGAACCCAAACACACACACACAAAACCCAGAACTGTAGGGACGATTATCTGCCAGATGAGGACGGAAAGCAGGCGAGACCAAAGTGAGAGGCGGTGTACGGCTGCCAGATCCTCCGTGCCATCAAAGACGGAAAGTGATCCACCGCCAACCACCAGGGCTCCACTGATAATAGACTACAGGAAGGCACTTCCTGTAGTCTCGGGCTAAACCCAACAATGAGACCAAGTCATCACTTGTCAGAATGTCACCTGTTTGAATGGAAGACTCAAACATCCACCGGGGTGGGGTGGGGTGGGGAGTGAGGCGGGCACTCGGCAGCACGCGAGCCAAGTCCACTTGGAAAAAAAAAAAAAGGAAAAAAAAAAAAGAGCAAAAGCCCGAGAGCTCTCAAAGCCGCCCTTGAACAGCGACTGTGAACCGTCTCTGATCAACCACTTGACAAACAAGCAGCCAAAGATTTACATAGATTAAGCTTTCCTCAGAAGTCAATTCAGCGGTTCTGGCAGACGTTCGTTTGACAATGTTTTGATGTCAAATGAAAGAACAAAACAGACTTGGCATGCAACCTGACTAGTCACAACACACACGAGCTGGAATGGCAGGTTAAGGGTATTTCAATGTGGTTTTAACGCTAGATGTGGGACTGCTGTTCTTCTGATGTCTCTTGAGTCAAACCAATAGTCTTGGAGCTATGCGAGCAATGTCCCCGAAGAACCTGCCGAACGCCTCTAAAGGACTTATTAAACTGTTAGCAGCAACATGCGTGAGTGTCAGTGTGGAGTCGTGAAACGAGAAATAAAGTCAGAAAATAGAACGGTAACTTAAAAAAGGTTGCACGTGGTTTGGTTGTAACAGGTCCTTAAAGGAGTCATACAGTAAATACAACCAGAAACTGGATATTTGGCAATAAAGTGTTTAGAAAAGAGCGCGGAGGACATCTCCATCACCTCACTCCTGTCACTGAGGAAATAGCAATATTTAGTTCACACTATCTGCAGCGGAGGTGCAAGATAAAAACAGGAGACGTGTCTCCGTGTCTGGAATGCTGCATGCGGACAGCTGGCAGATGTTGCCGGGTTTCCTCGCCCTCCGAGATCCTTTGATGTGATGAAACGATAGCGGATCCGCTGGTGTGATGAGACACGGAAAACTCAACTTGTCTGCACTGTTCAATTCATGAGAGAAACCTTAAAAAATAGGCCCTCGACCAAAGAAACCGTTAGTCCTAAATACCAGAACTGCTTCTAGACAGCCAAGTCTCCCTTCGTTCACCCCTGCAGAGACTGCAGTACTCCGTCCGGCCAAACAGTGGATCACGTCTCCCTTTCAGCTGTGGGCTGACCCCTCACCTCCTCTTGCTCTCTCTACAGCGGTCTGTGTAGAGCCGTAGGCAGTGGTCCAGCTGGCACCGCCTCTCTTCTGATTGATGGCCTGAGTGCGGGACAGTGAAGTGCTAAACTGGCCATGCTGCCTTTTCCCCGATCGCTCCCTTTGCAGCGTGGAGATGTGTGAAAAGCCTTCTGCAGAGCAGTGGTTCGCTGTACTCGCACTGTCTGGGCCACGAAGAGAGGGAAGGACTGCTGGAGCAAAAAAAAAAAAAAAAAGAGGAAGCTAGAATCCGAAAATGAAACCCTAAAAGAAGAGGATTATTCTTACACGCTGATTTCTTCCAACTCATCTGATCAAAGGAGGCTGTGACAGCTGCTGCTGCTCTGCCTCCAAAACAACATAAAGAAAAGGTTTTCTGTGCGCATCTGAAAGATATAAATGTCTATTTCTGTTTGGCGTAGAAGACCAACTCGACCTGAGGGAATATTTTTCTTGGGTTTAGAAGTGGTGCCTTGTGCGTCGGGTCGTATCAGCATTTCCATCAGTAGCGTCAGACCATCAGACCAGGCCACAGTGCCTCCTAGTGTGAGGGAGGAGTCGGGTTACAAGGCCAACTTTCGGTGGACGGCGGCAAATCTTTAGGATCAAGAGACCCTCTCTCTCTCACGCAGAGATTCTTCATTACAGTGAATGTTTGTTTAAAGTCACAGTAAGAGCAAATGCCACTTGTGACCCCGGGCCTTAATTCAGAAATTTGCCACTTGAGTCAAAATATGCGCGTCACACCGCAAGAATGTTCCACACGATAGA